CTTGCTCGCCGTATATCTCTCCTACAATGGAATACGCAGGGTTTCTCCAACACACACCTGTATTCGATCGACCCAAACTTGCAACTTCGTTTGCCATCCGGGCTCCCACGATGCGTTGAAGCTTCACTGTGTCGCTTGAGGTTGGGCGTGGCATTTACGAATTCGTACTCTCGTCTCCTTGGAATGGCGAGCACTTCAGCATGCAACATCTGCGCCTGCAAGGAAACGCTTGAGCACATTTTATGTCATTGCCCAGCATACCAGACCGAACGACGTATTATGGAAGCCAAGCTCTGTCAGCTATATTCACGGCCGCTTACAGAAGAGAAGATCCTGGGACCTTGGCCGACGGCTTCCCATACGCGCAAAGCCACGAAAGCCCTCTTGTACATTTTAAGGATCACCAGACTTCACGACCACTGGTGAAAGAACTGTGCGAGACCGTGCTGTGTAGTCTCGAGTTGACTATTCATGCTTCTCTTTCTTACTCCTCTTCTTTTCTATCTATTTCCGTTCAATTAATCTCCTTTTCCCCCACCCCAAGTGTAGGTTAGCCAAACGAGCCAACTTTGGTTAACCTCCCTGCCTTTCCTCTCTATTTATCTCTCTCTCTCTTTGATCTTTGTACACTCTAAGGCAAGGGGTGTGTGGTTCGTCCTTTCGGGGACGAATGGGGCTGCCACAACCATTAATCCCTTTAAGGACTAACAGCACCAGGTCTTACAGTTAGTACCCACAGATGAGCTCTAGGGACTAACATTTAGTCCTCACATCTACACCTTAGTGAGTAACTGTTAGTCCCACAGTTCACCCCAAAGGACTAACATTTATTCCTCACATTTGCACCTTAAAGAGCATCTGTTTATCGCCACATTTACACCTTACCGGGCAACCATAAGCCCTCGTAGTTTCACCTTGCCGGACGAACGGTTAACCCTTTCAAATACTTCAATAGAATGAACTTTTTGTCCCCAGTTGAAACATTGCTTTTTGTTTATTTTCCACCAGGCCTAATACTTTTTTCGCCTGTTTTCCTGCGCAGTGAGCAACAGATTGCGCAGAAAAGAACACGCGAAAAAGTAGTTAGGCACCTGTATGTAACTGTCACGGCAACAACGAACAACAAAAGTGAGACATCAAAATCCTTTATTTTTCTACATACACATGAAGTTTCTTCATTCTTTTAAGTGAATTCATAGTGAAGTGTACAAGTCTAGTATCGTTGTCAAATCTTGTTCACTCCTTGGGGAGCTCCTTTGACAGAAGCGATTGCAGACGCCAGCGCGCGCAGCCTTCTGCCTGTTGTGTTCCCACAGCTGCACGTACAGTAACATAGTAAAACTAGTTAGACACACGTAACATAAATTGAAGATGCTCGCATATGACAAGTACGTGAACGTAAATATAAAAAGAAGCGTTAAAATATGACACACAAATAACTATACCTTCACATCTCGCACAGTCCTTCTGAAGCTGCTCTGACAAAAGAGATAGATGACGGGCATCGCAGACGCCAGCGCACACAGCGCACACGGTCTGTGCCCACGGCTGCACAATAACTATGTAAAATAGTGAGTCACACGTGACAGAGGATGAATACAAATGCATATGAGAAATACGTGCAAGGTGAAATGAAAACATACGTCAGATATGACATGCTAATAATTTCACCGTGATGTCAGTCACGCATCGTCAAAGACTCATTTCGATCCCCGTAGCACAACAGCGTAAGAGCGGCGGCCGCAGCCACAACTCCGCGAACTACTGTGCCGCTAACAAGTCGGCGAGTCCTAAGCGACGTCTTTCAGCCCGAGCAAGCGAACGCGAGACCAGACACGGTGCTGCGCGCGGTGTGTCTGCCGTCGGCGAACTTCGAACAGGAGAGCGAGCGTACGCTTGGTCGCCACCACGAACAGCGCTGAGCTAGTTTGGAGCTAGCGCCGAAGAAATCGACGGTAATGTGGCCCTTTTTCACAAACTCGAGCGAAAGCAGGGCAGAAACACGAGTCCGCCGCCGCGGCCAGCGGACGGCACCGAGCTGCTTGCGATCGACTGACGGGAAAACCAACTGTAATGGCGACCAATTTTCAGTGAATTCCGACGCCAGCAAAAGCCCCGCCATCCTGTGCTGGTGCACTTACGGCGCGCGACCTACTACAACCAAGCTCTTTACGAGAACCCGCAACGTGTTTTCGACGACTCCCAACACAGCGACGAGGTCTCAGCCCAATATCGTCAGCCCGGAGCTCATCGCGGCGGCGAAGACAGGTGAGCACTCGATGAGCGAGCGTACAGGAGGCCGACGAGAATGGCGGCCGATTTCCAGGTGGTCGCAAAGCACAGGCGAACTACAGACGCCGAAGCTGACCTTCGCGATGCATTTCGTACATGCGATATACAACATGACCGAGCCCGTTGCCGGCAAGCGCGATCCATATCGCACATGTGACAAGTAGAGTAGAATAAAGAATGATTACCTACTTGCGTTAGAATCCAGTGCTGTGTTCTGCCCTGAGTCGGATTGAAGTATATATCCGATAGGCCTGTTTTCTTCTCGGCCGCCATATTGGCCTTCCCAACTGTTGCTGCTTGTGTTGGTCGTGACTATCTTGAAGCCATAGATACACAGCGCGGCGTGGTGATGTGTCGAGGCTTGCTCCAGACTTCATGGGTGCAGCGAAACGCAAAAGCAGAAGCCCACGCTCATCCAAGCGTACACACAAGCACCACGTCGTACTTCTTAGATCGTGGAATCTAGGCGGCCGTGGTCGAGCACTCCGAGCATGACGCAACGCGAACCGTCGCTGGCAAAATACGGAGAAAGACTGAGCCACAGAACACGGATGGTCACCTTAGCAAAGCTTTTCGCGCTGCCTGCAATCTCCGGGCGGTTCATCTCTAGTGGAGTGTGCTTGGAGACTAAGTGGTTTCACGCGGCACGCTTCCATCTGTGGTTGCTCCTCAACGGTCTATTCGTTCATCGCGCGCGCCTATTGGTCTCCGTTACTCCTTTTTCGGGTAATTTTGCTTAGAGTGTACCTAAAATATGTTTCCCAATGGTTTAGTTATTGCTGCAAACCGTTGTCAGTGACGTCTCACTGTTGTGGCCCATATGTAAGCGTTTGAGTTACTCACGTTTTATTTGTACTTGATTTGTGGGGTTTAACGTCCCAAAACCACCATATGATTACGAGAGACGCCGTAGTGGAGGGCTCCGGAAATTTTGACCACCTGGGGTTCTTTAATGTGCACCCAAATCTGAGTACAGGGGCCTACAACATTTCCGCCTCCATCGGAAATGCAATTATTTGTACTTCCCTGCTTGACAACCTCAATGATTCAAAGCGCCTCGCCAAACAAACATTCAGGTTGTTTTTGTGCGGCCTAGCGACCTACTATACTTTGTTTTTGTGCTTCAACTTCTTTACGAGGTTATGTATGTTGTCATGCTCTGGATTGTCGCACTTCCAACTCGACATTGCACCGACGACCAGAGTAGATTGTTTCGTTGGCAGCGATAACGATGATTTAATCAAAGCAAAAGGGTGAAACAGAAGGTCGGATGAAGATACATACTAGGGCTTCTTTAGCTTTGAATTCGGTGTTTTTATTGTCGTAAGAGAAGGCAAAATCATTGAATTCAAACTACTACTATTCTATGAAAAGTTAATGATGAAGATGTGCTCATTTATTTAAAAAAAAGAAGGCCGAAGGTCATTTGCTAGGAACATGGAGATAAAGAGGAGAAATAACTCTTGATATGGATGCACGCCAAGCCACCATGGCAAGGCCAATGTCCTTGATTGATATGTGGGGTTTAACATCTCAAAAGACAAAGCCAAAGTGAACACGATAATTTGGTCAGGGTGTTCGTGTACGTTATGTTCTAAGACTTCTCGATAAGGGCATGGAAAAAGAATTCAATGAATCCCACGTATCCTTGAAATCGATGTTATGCAAAACATGGAAATCAATGGTGAAAGTCTTTTAATACTTTTATTGAACTATGAGTGGTGCTAAATATATGTACGAATCCACGCACGCACGTTAAACAGCCACATATGTTTTTTATTAGCAGTTGTTTACAGTTGCGTAAAAATGCCAACAGCAACATGGACATGGATATTAGCAACACCTGAAGCGGTAAGCTGATATGAAGCGCTCGTGTTCGCGATAGTGCTCACTAGGATGGTGACCCCGGACACTGGTACAGAAAGCATTTTCAGCAAATGGCGCCTAACTACAATTGACGTTAACGCGACATCACGGCTGTATCATAAGAGTACATATATAACTTTTATAAAGTCGAATAGTACAGTACTGTAGCCACAATTGACGTTTAACGATCATTAAGGTCTACATGAAAATATATGCGAGGCCAGGCATGGCTCTCTGGTAGAATACTTCATTTCCACGCAGAATGCTATGGTTTGATTCCTGCAGGGCCACCTACATTTGTTGCTTGCATCCGTCCAGTCAACGCTACTTATGTCAGCTTTTTGTTAACGCTGAAGTGTTGACATTACCAATGTGTGTTCTCGCTGTTCCTTGGTAGATATGAAATGTTCATCACCTGTGGCACATATGCGCTTACCAGTGGCACACACCCGCCCCCGGGTATGTGTTACTGTTTTTTGGAAGGTGCTTCATGACGTAAGTGTTGAGGTTGTGACATTAGTCATGTCATGACGCAGCGAGTCGTGTTCGTCAAAATATTTGACCCTCCCGTACTAATTTCAATGTGCCAAAGTTTAAAGGAGGGGTCATGAGAGCACCCAGACGTAGGCGGCTAGACAGATAGATAGATGAATAGACAGACAGACAAACAGACAGACAGATAGATAGATAGATAATCAATCAATCAATTTATTTGATAGATAGATAGATACCGAAAGTACTTGCAGTATGTGAACAAATGCTTCGCATTTATTATCCGTCCCTTGCATGACATGGCAATCGATCGATGTGAACTCATGCATATTCGGCATGCTGGTCCGCAGGTGTCCTCTCTCACGACGGCCACAGGCACCCCTTCAATGACGAGTTCATGAAGTTGTACTCGACAGGACCAATGACTCGCTACGCCTGCGACCTGATGGCTATGCTCAAGGCCATGCTTCCACCGGACCAACTGGCGCGTATGCAGCTTGACCAAAAGGTATGCATGAATAAAGTTATCTACCACTCTCCACTTGTTCACAACAAATAATTATCAGGTACTTGTTCATGTCTAAAAGCAGTAAGCTTTCCCAATTTATAAAAAAGCAGAAATTTCATGCGAACTTTTCAATATTAATACTGGATGCACTGAGCACCTCGACAGCACACAAATGGCGGCCGCTACTCAGGTAAGGCTGGAACGCTCACTGAGAGGACTGGTGAAATTGGAATGATTGTGAGTCGTGGTGGCGTAATGTCAGTGAAAGCAGCAAGTCAAATAGCGTGCACCGGAGGATAGCTTTACAGGAGATGTTAGGCGCTTGGCTATTCCTGTCCTGTCGTGCTTAGTAATATCACCTCTTTGACCCTTTGTTTCGGTTGTGACAGAGACAATAATTATGAGATCACAATGAGGGCCGTTTTTGCGCTCCAATTGCTCGCCGCTACCGCCGATGTCCGTAATAGCTATCGCTTGAAGTAAAAAAGATATCTGGGGTGAATGAATTTCGAGCCCAAGTTCTTTGTTGGGTGCACTCCGGTATTTTACTACAGGGCCACACTGGTGCCTGAAAATGATATGCAAACAAAATATAGGCAGGCTTCATGCCAGGAAAAGAATCACGTTAACATGAGTAACACAGCGTTTCAAAAGAGTAAATAACCAGGTACCACACAATGCGCATTGTGTTACAAGTGGGTCTTTCAGTGCTTCGAACCCATTACAAGATACTCAGTCATGATTGTTCGTCACCAGAGAAACCTTCATCAATGAAAAAATAATGCCTTACTAATGCCTTGTGTAGCGGGTAACAAGCTTCCCCGAAGACCGAATAATGGCGTAGAGGGCACTTACCTACAACACAAAGGTTATGACGATTTATAGTACAGTGGGTGCCATGCAAAGTCTTTGCAGTAGTTTTACCAAAAGTGTTTTGAAAAGGCTTTAGAAAGGCCGCTCTTCCAGCATTCATTGCGACTGTGCTGCACGTTCAGCGCTGAAGTGCGGCTTATTTAGGGGCGAAGCTCTTTAGGCTGTGGGTCGTTCCTCCCTCTGTAGTAGTACTACTGTAGTACGTAACCGCATCTAGAGCGTTTTAAATATTGCTCACTAGATGACCTTGTGTGCATATGTAGCTAGAAATAGTATCACTAAATGGCCTTAGTGGTGTTCGTATATTTGACGACTTCATTTAGTTGACAGATGATTGGATGGATGGATGAACGGACAGACAGACAGACGGACAGACAGACAGACAGACCAGACCAGACCAGACCAGACCAGGACAGACAGACAGACAGACAGACAGACAGACAGACAGACAGACAGACAGACAGACAGACAGACAGACAGACAGACAGACAGACAGACAGACAGACAGATGGACGAACGGACGGATGAATGAACAGACAGACAGACGGATGGACAGACGGACGAATGGATGGATGGACGCTTCACCCCACACATCACTCACTCCATGGATATGATGTGAATTTTTTTGAAGCAAAGATGTTTGAGCTAGCCGTATTTTGTGTGGAATGCAAGTATGCGCCGCGTAGCCTGCCCCAGAGCTATCGTGATCATAAATGGCTATGTGCTAGAGAAACTGGTTAAATTCCGCTGCTCATAATGCGTCTACTAAAGATGAAGCAAACAGCTCACCCAACAAATGGGGGCGAGGCGAAGACTGTAAGTACGTACAACGAAAAGAATACTATAGAAAATGGGGAAGGCAAAGGCGCCTGCGAGAATTTACTTCATTATGGGGTGTTTCAGTCAGCACTTTGGTTGGTTTAATCTAACCATGGCTAGTTCTGGCTACTTCGCGGCTTATAGCTAGAACAGCATAACGTTGCTGAACTGTCGAATTGTGTTGGCTAGCGCAGGTTAGTGTGTTTTATCAGTGGACACTTCTTGTGGCTCGGCAGCTAATGTTGTGTAATGTTGGCGACAGTTGCGTGGTATAGGGTGTCCGCTTGAAAAAAAATTTCTACCAAGGAACACACATGTGCTGCTGTGACTCTTCAGCATATAATTCGTAATAGTCGTATTTACTGCTGTGTACTGACATTTTGCTAATCGTAATGCAGCGTTGCTCAATATCGCAGTAATGCACCAACAGATGCGTCTTATGATGTGCGCATCTGCGTTCCGTGGCCTGCTTTTCCTTTGATAAAAGGTACGTCTAAAATCGGGCTTCAGCACTGTTGTTACGTCGAGCTGCAAGCTACACTTCAAGTATTACACTGTACTCGACCTCCATGGTAAACCCAAGTCTAGTACACGAGTGCTCAATGTATACAAAATGGGACGTTAAACCCCACACATCAATCAATGTACACAAAGGTACAGTTGTGCATCGTAACGCGTGCTCAATGCCTAACAACGCATTATAGGCAGCTCATCACTGAAAGTTTTGCGTAACATCGATACTCAGACTGAAAGGAATCTGCTGGATTTTTTTTTCTCCTGTACCAAGTGGTTCCCTTCTCTTTAACTTTCCATTTGATTTTATTTGCACTGACATTTTTAATGGAAATAGGAGGTGACACGTGCGGCGTTTTCACGATTGAGTACACATGGGCTGGTCGAGTGGCGAAAAGTTAATTGAGACCTGGAACCCATTTCTGTATGCCTGCAGGTTGACCTGAGTAAAATCAAGGTCTTCTACGCGGAGGACGAAGGATGCAGCTTCTTCAGCCGCGTTCATCCCGATATGCGCGAGGCAGTGCGGAAGGTAAGCTCATGAAGAACGGCATGTTGAGCTGCTTATTACTCTTTAACCTTCATGTTTCATTGAAGAAACTTACTAGAATGCTCATCTTTAACATCTTACCACAATCACAGCCTATTTATATACAGTTTCGTTGAAAAACAAAAGTGATAGTGAAGTTGTGCCAATTGAAATGTGTTAGACAGCAAAAGTGTTTGGTTAAGCAAGGGAAGTCTTAGAAGCGGTCGACCTCAGTGGCATGGCCAGCTGAACCCAGACCGATTCACAAAGAAGGCATGTCTTGAAGGTGCATACTTCCGACGCTGACCGCAGGCAGCCAGTCACTTGAAAGAGCGTCACAGCATCCAAGCAGAGCCCATTAGGCTGGAGGCTCTCTCGTGCGGCTTCGAAATGTGGCTGGCCAAGCTGAGTGCCAGCCAGGGCGAGCCGGCGACGCGCTTCTTCACCAATGCTGGCGGCCGGCCCATCAACACTTTCGTCGAGACATTGAAGGTCCTCTGCGGAAGGTAATTGATGGTGCCACTAATGTCGCATAATATGTGCCCCTGATTTTAAATGGGACTGTCTCCGAAAGCTTCATTTTCAGACTGTTCATATGCACCTAACTTGTTTATTATAGTATACAGACGAAACTGTATTGAATGTTACAAATTTACTTTACTGAATCTTACTTCGACATTGTTCTGTGCGTACGTACCTAGTTAGTAGTTTCCCAAATCAAAATGTAACGTGACCAGCCACGTTGGTCTAATGGCTAAGACACTCGGCTGCTGACCCCCCAAGTCGCGCGAACGAATCTGAACCGCGGTGGTCGCGTTTTCGATAGAGGCAAAAATGTTTGAGGCCCGTGGGCTGAGAATTGGGTGCACGTTTAAAGAACACTAGGTGGTCCGAATTTCCAGAACCCTCCACTACGACGTCTCACATAATCAAATGTTGGTTTTGGAATGTTAAACCCGGACAATTAATATTATTAATATTATATTATTAATATTATTATTATTGTTATTTTTATTTAACCTGATTGTGATAGTGAAGAAGCACAGCTCTAGCCGGCGAAGTCACAAGTGTTTATTCGGCAAGTTTAAACATTTTTTGTACAAGGGAGTATCACTGACACTTGAATGATCGTGATTATAGAAGGTCGTCGATTGTCAATAATCTGATCGGTGGTGTGACTCATCGGCATTACAGATGCAGGATGGAAGATGCCAGCGTTATCGTAAGTGACCATGTTAGTATTAGACTAAACTTACTCAGTATTAGACTGTCCTCACTGTGTGCACTATAACATCACAAGAGTCTAAAACTGTCAGAAAGATTCCCAGCAATAGCAATGTGGTTTGCGACAAGCAGATACTCGTGTAAAAAGTCAGTTGCATATTTTACAAAAAGAAAGCGCATTAGACAGGGGGTAGATCAATACTAAATTTTTATTTTTTGCCTTTAATATGTCGTTCCTTACCAGAATGGACTAAATGCGCGACTGTGTATCATGAAATGAGTATTGAAGTGTAGTTCTTTTTCTCGTTTCGCTTGTGATGTAGGAGAGTGGGAGCCCTTACTCGAGGACCTCATTTGGTGTTGCTGTCCGGTTGTTTTGATAAACTAGTCTTAGCTAATTATCCAGGGATGTGATGGCAAGAGCACCTTTACTCTGGAAAGGGGATGGATTGGGCTGTTTTAGGCACGCCGGGTGGTTTGGGCATTCTCGGGTGGAATGGCACAAGTTTGGGTGTCCGCCCCAGAGTAGAACCGTTACACGGCTGTGTAAAGCCTGTGGAATATCAGAAGTAAAGGCCCGCGAATAGTTCAATAAATATTCAGGAGTTGTCAGAATCTGTCGACAATTTGTCCAGTAGTGGCTGTGAATGTGCCTAGGTGATCTATGCGCTGTGTCCCTAGTCACATAGATTTCTTAAAATCCGCGAAGATATCTTGGCGCGCCTTTCAGAAATATTTTTCCAAATTACCAATTACAACGAATGATGTCATTGCTTTGATAAGAATTAAGGATAAAGAACTGGGCTATTTAGTTGGCATGCAAAACGAAGGTCATAAAATGGTCATATACGGATGGACAAGACACGCAGAACATGCACTTTTCGTCCTTCTGTATGCCAGCACTTCACGAAACTGAGTGTGTAGTCGTTACTAAATGAGGTATGTCGAAAATGAGAGAAATGAAAGTGTTCTCATCAAAGATATGACTGGCGTTAGTTTCAATATGTTCTTGTTAGCCGTGTCAATTAAGGGTCCAGCTGCGTGTAAGTCTCACACAAAATATAATTTGAAATCAATAGAATAAAAGGCTCTGCCAAGTACCGCCAATTAATTTTATCAAACACTGTTTCAGCACAAAAACTATAGAAAATAACTAATACGCTGCATGAGCGAAGCAATGAATTAGATAGCAACGAATTCCGATGCTACACAAAGTAGGGCTGGCAGCGAGCTCTGTTGGATCCAATGTCGCGTAATTCAGTAAACCGCTGGTTCAAGGGATTACGGCCACTCGAGGTACCAGAGTGGTCTTCGAGGTGTCAGTCTTATAAACGGGAAGTAAGCACCCAGATTACAGCAAGCTGATGAGTCGTCTCGTAATGTATACGAGATATCGTGTGCGCCGGTGCTCTGAACCTCACCGTTATGAGCACAATCAGCTGTTCCTGCGGGAGCGACGCACCTGACCCTCTCCACCAGGAGCACTTCACATTCCTTTGATAGGTTCCTCTCTGTTTGACAAGCCATCGATGGCAGGGCCTCACATGTGGAGTGATTGGATGTGCCCTTCGTGTGATGGAGAAGCCGACCCTTTTCACTTCTGCTTCAGCTGCGCTCGTCCTCAGCGCTCGTCTGCTTTTACTAGCGCGAAGAACATCTGATGTGTGGGGTGATGTTGTCTGAGAAAAAAATGTTATATTCCATAGTGCATATATATAGTGCATATTCTATATAGTGCATATTCTACAAGCAGTCTGTGAGGCCGTGCTACTGGTTCGATATTCGCATTTGAATTTTACAAGATTTAAGCTTTGCAGCACTCACTTTTACTCTCTCTTTCAAGCTAATGCAACTTCATAATTCGCATGCCTCAGTATAAAATACTGCTGTGTACCACTCTGCATATCTGACGGAAAGCAATCATTGTTGTCTTTTTTTATTCCTCATTAGTAATAAAGAAAGAGAAATAACTTACAGGGATTCACCTGAGATGACTGAAAGACAAGAACCATCTTCGTTTTCTTCACATTCAATACATTGAATGTTTCCTACTTCTCTCTGGGATGTGTCTCCTCCAAATGTGGGTTTCTTACTGTCTCAAGGATTGGAGACAAGGCAAGCTTTTTGCCCCTCAGCTGGTTATGCGTTGTCCTTGTGATCAGCACATTTCAACCATGTGAATACATAATATGAGGCCATCGAGTTATGTGACCTTCCGATACGTCACAAAATTTTATGATCTGTGACGTCATGTGATGGAGTATTCACTTAATAATGATTTCTTGCATCGCTGGTGTTGACGCCGCCGACGCAAGAAGACACCGGATGCTGCCGGCAATCAATTTTCTCTTTTTATGAGGCATTCAAGGCTTGCGCCTTAATACACTGCACAACTGTAGTTCCACGGAAGTGCAGCTGCCACTCGTGTTTCGGGGAGGATGCGTGCAGTAATCAGGCAGGATGATTGGTATCCTAATAAATATAGCCATCAATTGTTGCCTGAATATTTTATAGATTATAAGAAGTTGTGGCTCTAAACTGCCTTTCACGTTTGGAAGCATGGCAATAAGCCTAGCTTAACAGAACTGTGCTGCATCAAAACAGTCAGTCAACAAATGAGTCTATCAGTAGCAATCCTGCCACGTGATCTCTTCCGTGTGCAACGCTAACATTACGCCCTATAGTTGTATGGGAGCTCAAGGCATAACCTGAGCTATTGACGAAACAAGCGACAATTTTCATGTACTGTGTACTGTGTCGTAAGGATTGCATGCTTTTAAGGCTAAACAGGCCGTCCCATGCTGCAAAAACATCCAGGTTGACAGGGATTCAGCCTCTGCTCTGCTCGCTATCGAATAAGGAAGTCAGTGGGAAGAAGAAAGAAACAGAGCTGAGCAGCCGTATGTAACGGTAACGATTCATCATGAAATATACAGACGAGCTCATGCAACTGACAACAAGCGGCATTTCACTTGACTGCCACATTGACTAATGTTGAGAGTCGGCATTAGACTTGAGACTTTAACAGCGCCTGTTAAAAACTTAGGTCATGATAGCAAAATCACCCTGCGTGTGGAGCTGTTTTTGTATGTTTCAGGACAATTTCGTTGTTTACGCTCTCAAGTAGTGAAATCACCTGGCATAGTTCCTCATTTTCTGGCACTTGCTTTTCTCAGTTGCAACACATGTGATACTCAAAAACTTTGTGAAGGTATTAGAGGATCACCTATATTTCTGGAAGCAAGTCTATGGGCATTTTGCACTATTTAGCACATGAACACAAATTGATTCTTTCGGAGAAATGCACCAAGTAATTTTACTTATTCAACAATGTCTATACGCAAGTTTCCTAAAGTAAGATTCAAGATTGCGTGGTTCAGTGGACTGTCGGAGGAGTGGGGGTAAAGATAACGGGCTTTGGTTTGGCTGTGAATATATCACGATAATTGATTACGCTTCACTTGTGTAAGTCGCCGAGAGCCGTGTTAATGCTACTATGAAAAGTACCAAAGAAAGTGTTGGGAATTACAAGGTTGTATCACGCTCATAGGGAATTCATTTTGCTCCCAGGTCAGTTTGTGAATACTGGCCTAAATCCAGCGACACAAATTTATACTGGGAAGGTCAATTATGTGAAACACCCGAGAGTTACTTCGTCTCCCGGAAGGGAGTTGGCGCTATTGGATGACGGAATCATGCAAATTCTCTGTCGGAGGGACAACGATGGCTGTGAGCAGAGCTGACAGCTGAAATTCTGTAGCGTAAGCTACACTGGTTGAGGTTCAGCAGTTTCATGTTTATCGAAAGCCCTGTTGGGCATGACCCAGGAGCAGTAACGTCATAGGACGCCAAGTTGACGCGCCGGAAAAGGCCTACATAAGCTCCTGGAGTGACGCGTTTCCAGTAGACTGGCGCGTTACTCACGTGGTTTCGCTCTCTAGCCCTTGCGTCCATCCGTAGCTTACTCAAAGGGCATTATGACATAGCCTAAGACACTGCCAGTTTTTGCTTTGTTGTAACCAGGCATAATTTATTCGCAGGTCACTACACACCTTTCCGGCTGTCATGGTCACCGTAATCGACCGCATGTTGCCGAAACCTGACTCCGGCTACGTGCGGCGCTACCTGGCTATGGCGCGCGACTTTCAGGAACGCCTTCTCTCTTTGCTGGGTGAGGACGGGGTGCTCATCTGCCCCGCGGCTCTGGGGCCGGCACCGTTTCACAACGAGCACGCCATGCGGCCAGGGCACGTGTCTCTCACAGCGCCGGCCAACTTGGCCGGCCTGCCAGCCACTGCCGTCCCGATCGGAATGACTACAGACGGCCGGCCAGTCGGAGTCCAAGTGATGGCTGCCCCCTACATGGACAGGCTCTGCCTTGCGGTCGCAACAGAACTGGAGGAGGCGTTCGGAGGCTGGCAGGCGCCTTTCGAGCTTGCCGGACAGGCTGCAAAATTGTAGACATCTCATAGCTTGCAGAGACCACTTCTGAAGCAGTAGTATGCGAGGTTGAAAAATCAGACTGGTTTCAAACGCAACCTTGTAAAGGTCGACGATCTTATGTGTTAATATTGCGCACTTGAAATGTATGTTCACGGTTGTTCATTCGGAATAACAATGAATTTGCGTGAAAATACGTGCTGCAGAGCTCTATAGTCGGGTACAATTAAAAAAAAGTAAGGGGGGGCCTCACCCAGGCAACGGAATCGCGGCAGCCCATCACCTCATCGACTAACGAAATAGTCACGCTCTTGCTTTCCGCAACATTCTCTGCAGGCGGGGTCAACGACCCTCCAGCTCATGACATAATTTTCGAGAACATGCCCATTGGTGCAGGATTGTGTGCATCCGCCTATGACGGGGAAATGCCGCGGACTTCTTAAGTTGTAACTGACTATAGTTTGTGCATGATCACTGAAATACAAAAAAGGTGCGTAGCAACCACAAAAAGAATGAAGACACCCTTTTGCGTATTGTCTTGAGCAATTCTATGATGGTAACATGTTCTTTTTGTATACCACTAAGCATTCACATTGCCCTGAAATGTTTCACCTGCCTTCAGCAAAGTCACAAGGTATAGGAGTGTTGTAACACATTGTGACAGGCCTGATAATATACAACACGTGATAGTGTGGATACTTATGTGTGAGCTTGCATGGTGACAAAAAGAGCTTGGGGAATTCAAACGTGGGGTTACTTGCTACATCCATTGCAGAATTGACAAGTTATGCTTACACTAAATGTATCTATCACTACACAAAAAATGGTGCTGGTTTGCGAAAGATACAAGAGTAAGAGAAGAAAGAAATGACTGAGACTTGAATCTATCAGGAGAAAACAGGGGTCTACTAGGAAGCCTCCTCATGCTTTGTTCTAATTACGAAGATGTGCATAAATAAATTCGCACGGGAACGTGAGTTGCCTGCCTTGCATTCAAACGATTTCACTGGATTTTTATCGGGTGTAGTCGGGCTAAATACAGGATTTTTTACATGTGTTTTGTTGCTCAGTATTCGATTTAAAATACAACGTACAGTGCCAAGTTAGATACCCTTTACTATTGCAGGGACAGCACTGTAGTGTAAATACAAAATTGGTTAGCTTTTAATGCCACGATTCCAATTTGCAACGAGGTAATGAGTGCATATATGTACCAAAGTACTTTTTTGTATCTTGCAACGCAGTAAACTGCGTTGAAGAACCTCACAAAGCGAAAAAACATAAGTGAGAGTGTGGGGATGACGCTTGTGTTTACTATAGATGAAAGTGTTATTTTAGTATTATTGAAGGTACGTTCACGTTGACATTATAAGAATGAGAAGAATATAAAAAAATAGGTTATTGTACTAACCAAATTACTGAACCCTAACAAACCAAATTATAGGCATCTAAGTACATCAGCTGTAGTATATTCGTGTAGTCTTTGCGGGTTGGATAGCGTACTAGCTTCTGCCACAGATCTAGAGCTCTAAAACGCAGGTATGTGCATTTTTACAGTTGAATAGTTATACCCTAGTTATCAATTAGTATACTTCCTTGAGATTCAGGAGCAATAAACTGCGCTTACAAGTAGTTGTAGCGTACTGGAAGCACCTGCGTACACTCTCCACCATTGGTACCGAGTGTGACGGACTTGTCTCGAGATGTTTTTTGATGCATTCAGGTGGGCATTTCAGCGTTTTTATGAAAAATGTGGTGAGAGAGGGCACCAGTCACCTTCAGAATTTATAACACAGGGTTGTACCTAAGCATCCAGTTCAACCCTCTGAACGATGTGTGCCATGCAGTTACTTGTAAGGTGTCTACCTTGTAAGGTTGTGCCTACCATTGAAGGGGAAAAAAACTTCTCTTTGGGAAGTGTCTACTTCATGAGTGTCATTTTTTAACGTCTGAACAGGACTGCATAATCCTTGAGCCTGCTCAGTACTAAATATAAACTGCATTGAGAACAAGCATGCACACATTGTAACCACTTACACAGGCTTTAGAGGTCAGTGCTTCGCGTCGATTTTGTTGTCTGTCGGAGAAAAAAACGGTGACCTAATCAACCGTCTCAAAAGCTGTTGTTTCACTGAAGCCGTACTTCTATCTAGTGGCAATACCTTCGGTGATACTCTAAGGATTTCTAACGTCATTCCACGTTCAAACTTCGTAAAACACGTACAAATTTATTGTCTACTCGGAGCACTATTCTAAATGATGGGCCTTTTTAGAGGCCTTTGATGCACAGCACTTAACATTCGGTAGAACTCATATTTCTCACTTTGTTTAGAGTTAGCCCATTTCGATGTGCAAAAAAAAGAAGTAATTCGAGCACTCTATTCCATCAAGGCTAGAATAGAGTGTGGAACTAAAGTATTCTGGTAATAATGTGCACTTGATTGTCGGACGCGCTAGACACTGACTTAACGGTTACCCTTAACAAACAAAGTGCCTTGACACTCCAAATGTGTCAGGCGCTGTAGGTGTTGGAAATAAATAAATAAATAAATGAATAAATAAATACACGGGCACATTTAAAGTTGCGGAGATGCAGTGGGGAGTTTCGTAGCTGAAGAAAAAGATGACACTGCTGATCACAAAAGGAAAGTAGCTCTCAAGGAGACAGGGTTATTTTATGAAGGTGGAATTACAGCTGATTTCTGTAAAAGACAGATTGGCAAAAAAAAAAAACGATGCCAGGTGGGACCGGGAGCCACGCAGCCGTTACTAATGATGGCCCCAATACCTTCGTCACCAGGCCTAATTGTTTCATCACTAGTGCCGCAGATGCTTGCTAGCATCGTCGATGCTGAATCGAATAACCGCCTGCGCATCCCGCATATGTGAATATCGGCTTATGTGCTCTTTGTAAAAAGATTAAGAGTACGGTACTGCATAATCTAGGAGCATTCCGAACTTGCTAAACAACCAATCAGCTCACTTAAACGAAATACAAAATCTTGGGCATTTTCGCGACAATATACGCGCAAACTATGACCCTGAAACACATTTCAACTGTCTTCCCTCGACACGCCATAAATATAAACTATGCCATAAAAACATAGGCCATATTTCCTAGAGCCCATTACTTCAACTGTTATTATGAACGTTAACCTGATCTTTGTCTCTCTAGAAATGTGTTTCATGCTGATTACAAAAAATATATGTATCAATCGATTGCCCTTCTTTTGCTTTGATTTCTGTATATTAACTCGGCAAGTGTACTTATTGGGATTTTTTGCCATGTTACTTCATGCACTGTGGGGGAAATGGGACCAGTCAAGCTGCTTTAAAGCAACTTTTATTTTGACATCATTGCTGTTTATGGATGCTGTGTACTTACGCGGTAATAAACTTCAAACTTCAGACAATGCTTTTTTGCAGCGTCTTTGAATTAAGTGCCTAATCCTTGGAGTTGGGAAATTGGCTATCAGTACATAGCTCCTTACATAGCTCCTCAACCGAATCTAGCCAATAACAACGATCGCGTGGCCACCAACGTATTCGGCCGTCATTTGCAACATCGCAGTGTTCTGTCGTCGTCACAGCTCTTGGTCGCAGCGATTTCCACGTTCCTCTATAATAAGGCCAAGTTGCACGAATACGCACAGTTCTGTTACGGCTAGGAAGCTTTGTTCAGCGTGAGTCCCCGTGTAAACAAGACGTAGTACCGGCGTCCATCTTGCGATTGCATTGTCGTCCTTATTGGAAGTTCGCTGTGAAAGAGCAGCCGTTGATGTGAACCGCAGCAGAGACGCCTTGCCCGAGTGAATGATTGACATTGTCGCTATAGCTCAGATTTAACGCTCTACACTTACGGTAAAAGAAAGGTATGTTTTGTTTGGGATTTGCAATGACCACCAACAGAGGTGAAGGCAGCAAAAGCTTCAATATTGGCACGCTTTTGCAGAAGGTCAGTTTTCTTATAACCTGCTCATTCCGCCTTGTTTTCCACGGTGTACTCATTAGCCTTAGGCCTAATAAGTCACTTGGCAACAACTGGCATCCACCCAGCACTAAGCCTAGGCGCAGAAAAGGCAGCCGCAAGGAGACATCCACTCTGTAAGGTGGCCCTATCGCTAACCGCACACAGCAGCTTACATAGGGATTGGCGTCAACCGCCCCGGCAGCGCCACCTAGACTACTGAAGGCCCCTGCACTCCTCCGTGACGTCACCACACTCAGCCCGTACGCGGCGCTTCATGACTGCGGTCGCTTTACCTATAAACGGAGCTTTTTCTTTAATTCACCTAAATAAGTGAACGTGATGATCAAGAGGCTGATGCAAGATTGGGTGATATTTTGGGCATTCCACCGTAGTGGTGCCTTTTGTCTTGACCGCATATGTACATTCGCACATATAGCTGTAGTGCGTCCTTGTATTTTTCGCTGCCTTTTTTTTGGTATCTGTTTGCGGGACATGACAGCTGGTGCTTGTCACCGAATGCTAGACAAGACACGTTTTATTCTAATGAACAAACCTGAAAGTTTTTTTTGTTGTTGTTTTGTAGTTAGGTTTACAGGTTGGAGTATCTTATGAGTTGTAATATCTCGTCACCTTGGTCATTGGAATTTACCAAACATAATTCTTACAGCATGTACAATTTTGTTATCACTGTTCGTTAAATCTGTGCACTATCCACAATTCCAAGCAGTTCGAAGAGGGATACCAAATGTACAATAGTTTCAGAACGAAAAATAAGCTTTATTTCGGGAGTGAATATACATGCACATACACGCACAAACACATACACACAGAAATGCAAACACATGATCATTTCAAAGTAACCAACTTTCTTTTCGTCCCATTCGCTTTGTTTTTGCTCAGTGCATCATTTCTCAGAGAAGCGTAGTTTTTGAGCACTATGTTTATGGCTGGCAGCAAAACGTTTTTCATTACTGAATCTGGAGTGTGGCCAGCTGCACAAGCATCAAATTCTTCGTTGTCTATAAACAAATACATAAGAACACTAAGTAGAGTCAATCAATGATTACTTTTGGCACGAAACAGAAGCTGATGTTCTTTACTAGTGACACGGTCGAAAACAACCTTCGCGCATGAATTACAGCTGGCTGTGGGAACTTCAATCTACCTCGACTGATGCTGTCAATTAGCACATATTCACTTTCTTCTAGCTCTCGTTACGTGACTGTCAGTATGTCACGACAGTCATCACATGATTGTCGTTTAAGAGTTGCGTGTGCACAATAGCCGGCGATGTAGACCAATGCGGCCACGTCCTGTCGTGGCTTGTTTAATTCAGCAGTACGACATACGCTTGCGTATGTCGTACTTCCTGATTACCTCCTCAGCATTAGGCTCATTTTCATTCTGACTGGGTGATTCAGACATGTCTGCCAAAATCAGTGTGTTTTGTAGGCGGATCTTAGCCTCAGCCTCTAACACTTGTGGTATCGACTCGTTATGGTGCGAACCACATAGTCGCCTGTACCCCTCGAACCTATCCTTAAGCGAGTCAGTTTGATTTACCGAGGAGCATGTATCTAAAATTCTGTTCCTCCAAGCAGTACCTCGACACCTCAATCAGGGCATACGTAGTTAGCCGTAAAGCTGTGTGGGTCTCTTTTGTGAGAGCGCCTGTTTGCACGTTTCTGTCCTTGCAGGAGCCCAACCAGCCAACAAACTTGTCCAGATATCGCAGCTGCCCGCAGCTTATATTGCGCACTGGCTCTTGCCACAGATCTTTTAGCCTGCAGCCTTTATGAGCAGTCCTCACATTCACTATGTTCCACCACTTTACAATTAAATGAATGAAATTTGCTGTACCATCAGCAAGGACCTAATGAAAACTTTCATCTTGACTTCTCTAAGCCGATGACACAAAGGTGTTAAATATCTTGAGAGTGAGCTTAACATTTTGTCACTCTGAGTTACTTGGGTTCAGAGCCCTGTAAGTCAGCCCATAAGCAATTTTCACAACACTATTTTCTTCAGCTTCATGCAGTTTTCTTAATGTTGTGAATGATGCACCTTCCAGTCTTTTGTTCTCCTCAACATAACAATCAAAATGTGGATAATACAGGCTCTTGTCGGAATTTTTATGGTTATTCAAATTATTTCGAATGCATTTTAGCAAAGGCACTGTGTCAACAATGTGAAATAAGGGTTTCCGAGGATCCACTGGATGAGGATACACTATTTATAAATGGTTGCTTTCTACGAACAGTGACATTAACTTTCTATTTATTGAGTTATTGTCTGTTATTACTGCCACTACAAGGAGGCCACAATCTTCAAGAATGATTATTACTTCTCTAAGCACCTTATGTAGTTCTTCAGCTGTAATTTTAGACACTGGTAATATGTTTGCTACATCTTGAAATGCTGACAGTAAGCTCTGAACCATAAAAACATGCGCTGTTTTTGCTGTTTCAGTGCTGTTACCAGAAGCTCCTGTCAACCTGCCTGCCTTGTAGCCAAAGAATTGTTGCAAGTGTATTTCATCAAGAGTCAACGTGACATGTCTTTCATGCAACTTCAGTAGGCTGGCCCTTCTTTTGATGTACCGTAAGAGTCCTTCTCGATTTCGTTCCTTCAAAAGACTCACATCATGGGCGGCATATACACGTTTAATTGTCGAAGGGTGAGGCAATACGATGTTACCACTGCTTCGCAAAAAGTTGTAACCATAGGGAGAAATGCTGTAAAACACAGTTGAAGGAATTATCAGTTCAGCTAAATACTTTTTGTTTCGGCACATCAGCAGCTGGCACTGTTCCGTGAGAAATATTATTGCTTCTAGTGTTTCATCCTCGAGGTCTTCCTTAGAAATATCCTCGAGGAGGGAAACCACAAGCTTTACCACTCCATTTACTTTTCATCTTTTTAAAGTTCTCTTCTACGACAGTACTCTTGTACGCCGTCCAGAAGTTCCACCAGCACACGCATGTCGTGAACTGCTTCTGGAATGCCAAGCCGTTTGTCTGACGTAAAGCGAGCACTTCCTACAAAGACGCGCACAGACATATCCGATGATTTGACTATAGACGAAATAAGATTCGGAGCTTCTTCTATTCTTGCCTTGATGTGCGCAAAGATGACATGGCCATCGGCTTTCACAAGTGACCAATACTTTTTTTCTTGTAGCCGGTGCAGGCGAGAATTTATGTCATCTAGGCATGTTAACTTGTTTTCTTTCAACCCCTTCTTGTGGGCCAGCACGGTCTCCACAATATCTTTCTGAAGTTGCTCATCTTCTCTTCGTTTTTCTTCATTCTTGGTTCTTCTCTCAATTGGTGAGTATCTGACAGGTAGTCAGGGCTGTCCGGAAAAATCGTAGGCACAGCATCGTGCGTGGGTCACGTCAATTTCATCATGACTTCAATGGTGTGACCGTCGCAATCTGTATATTTTGTCGTTGTGTGGAGATGTTCCTCTTTCAAGTGACATTCGAATACCTGCGCAAAAGACATAAATCAAAATCAGTTTGTTTCCACGTGAATTGTGCCTGTGTGCACAGGTAACAAAACTAGGACAGTTCAGGCGTCGCTATTAAAAATCGCGGCGTCTTATTCCATACCTGGAAGGGTGCAGCAACACAATTCGTTGTAAAAAAAATTGCACTGATGCGTGCAACCACACAAAATGATGCCACAACTCCGGTCTGATATAGGCTTTCTCACGTTAACAGCTGCAATTCTAGTGAGCGAAAAAACAACCCATGTTGCAGGTACTTAGCGCAACTTCGCATTCCCTCAAAAAACACACATCCACTCGCAAAACGAACCTCAAATGCGCAGATTTGTGTGTGAATGTGAGCGTGTTTTCTGAAGGAATAGGAAGTTGCGCTAAGTACCTACATGACGAGTTTCTAACTAGCTCAACAACGAGTTTCAAGAAAAACAACCCCATAACAGCAAGTCGCGTGCATGTAAAATGCGTAAATGCCCTCATATTTCGTAGGCAACACGTGGAAAATATGCACACAGAAAGCTCCCTCCTCCCACATTTATAGGTCCTACTATCAGCCACATTTTTGCAAAAAGTTACATTGTAGTAATCATCTGTGCCCAAATATGTTCGGGTGACATACGTGTTGTATTCTGGGTTATCGGTTTCGGTTTTGAAATGACATGTGAGGATGCCAGGGGGCACCGCTCTGGCATCTACGAGAAGGTCCCTAGATGAAACAAGGTAGCGTCACTCATTGTTCTCGAGCCGTCCTCCTCACTCTCTCGATTACTCCTCTTTTTCTCTGCCATCCGCCTCTGTAATTGGTGCATTACTTGCACGTGATCTTGCAAATGGCTGGTGGTGTTATTTATTATTATGCAAAAGGTTCAAAACGAGTACGCATGCGCATATGGCTCCAGCCGGATTTTCACCGTGACCAAAGACAAAATCGTAGCCA